ATATACATTGGGTACGGAAAGTATTCAGACCCCCTTAAATTTTTCACTCTTTGTTATATTGTAGCCATTTGCTAAAATCATTTAAGTTAATTTTTTTTCCTCATTAATGTACACACAGCACCCCATATTGACAGAAAAACACAGAATTGTTGACATTTTTGCAGATTTATTAAAAAAGAAAAATTGAAATATCACATGGTCCTAAGTATTCAGACTCTTTGCTGTGACACTCATATATTTAACTCATGTGCTGTCCATTTCTTCTGATCATCCTTGTGATGGTTCTACACCTTCATTTGAGTCCATCTGTGTTTGATTATACTGATTGGACTTGATTTGGAAAGCCACACACCTGTCTATATAAGACCTTACAGCTCACAGTGCATGTCAGAGCAAATGAGAATCATGAGGTCAAAGGAACTGCCTGAAGAGCTCAGAGACAGAATTGTGGCAAGGCACAGATCTGGCCAAGGTTACAAAAAATTTCTGCTGCACTTAAGGTTCCCAAGAGCACAGTGGCCTCCATTCCTTAAATGGAAGACGTTTGGGATGACCAGAACCCTTCCTAGAGCTGGCCGTCTGGCCAAACTGAGCTATCGGGGGAGAAGAGCCTTGGTGAGAGAGGTAAAGAAGAACCCAAAGATCACTGTGGCTGAGCTCCAGAGATGCAGTCGGGAGATGGGAGAAAGTTGTAGAAGTCAACCATCCCTGCAGCCCTCCACCAGTTGGGGCTTTATGGCAGAGTGGCCTGACGGAAGCCTCTCCTCAGTGCAAGACACATGAAAGCCCGCATGGAGTTGTGAGATGGTGAGAAATAAGATTCTCTGGTCTGATGAGACCAAGATAGAACTTTTTGGCCTTAATTCTAAGTGGTATGTGTGGAGAAAACCAGGCACTGCTCATCACCTGTCCAATACAGTCTCAACAGTGAAGCATGGTGGTGGCAGCATCATGCTGTGGGGGTGTTTTTCAGCTGCAGGGACAGGACGACTGGTTGCAATTGAGGGAAAGATGAATGCGGCCAAGTACAGGGATATCCTGGACGAAAACCTTCTCCAGAGTGCTTAGGACCTCAGACTGGGCTGAAGGTTTACCTTCCAACAAGACAATGACCTTAAGCACACAGCTAAAATAACGAAGGAGTGGCTTCACAACAACTCTGTGACTGTTCTTGAATGGCCCAGCCAGAGCCGTGACTTAAACCCAATTGAGCATCTCTGGAGAGACCTAAAAATGGCTGTCCACCAACGTTTACCATCCAACCTGACAGAACTGGAGAGGATCTGCAAGGAGGAATGGCAGAGGATCCCCAAATCCAGGTGTGAAAAACTTGTTGCATCTTTCCCAAAAAGACTCATGGCTGTATTAGATCAAAAGGGTGCTTCTACTAAATACTGAGCAAAGGGTCTGAATACTTAGGACCATGTGATATTTCAGTTTTTCTTTTTTAATAAATCTGCAAAAATGTCAACAATGCTGTGTTTTTCTGTCAATATGGGGTGCTGTGTGTACATTAATGAGGAAAAAAATTGAACTTAAATGATTTTAGCAAATGGCTGCAATATAACAAAGAGTGAAAAATTTAAGGGGGTCTGAATACTTTCCGTACCCACTGTATATATATTACATTTGAACATATATAAATATCTGTTCAAATGTAATTTATTGCTGTGATCAATGCTGAATTTTTGCATGACCTCAAAAAATGATCTTCTTGCTTAGTATTTTTGTCTTGTCTTGTAGTATAAGTATCTAAAAATTCTTGAATCAAGACGAATTTACTTTACAAGTAAAATGACTTCAGATATTATGTCTTGTTTTCTGAAAAAATTGTCAAAATTTTGTTAAAACAAGAAAAAGTATCTGACAATATACCTTAAATATATATTGCCAATATACTTTTGGTGACTAAATACAGGTATATATGTGTTGTACCTTTTCAAAAGTGTCAAAATAATAATAATACAAATATTTTCCTGAAGTACTGGCATATTTTGAGCATTGCATGTGTGTTTAACCAATCTGCCTCCATGAATAGCTAATCATATCGTAAGAGTAATTACTTTAACTTAGCATAAACCTCGCTCGTCAATAAAATCTGAAAGTAGGCCTATATTGCTCTAAAAAGCTGTCATTTATTCGGACTATCTAATGTATTCACGTAATTTAGACGACTTTGTTTCGTGTCTGAGCGCGCGCATCCCGTGAGAACGTAAATATTTAGGCACTATTTGTTTGGTGAATACTGACCGGCGCAGAGGCCAATCAGCGAGCAGACACTGGCGGAGTGATACGCGCGGCGGAAGCGCACGGGGTGGGTGTGATGCGCGCGTATATAAGCGGCGGCGCTGCAGCGTCTCTGTTCCTCTCCCGCGCTCCGCTCTCTCCGCTCGCAGCTCTCGCGCGGGGATCATGGCAGTCTAGCGGCGTGCAGCGGTGACTATCGCAGCGGCGAATCCGGCAGTGCAGCGGTCGAGTGCACTGGCTCTATTTGGCAAAATGGCGTAAGTATTTCTCAGTATTTGGTTTAGTGGTGTCATAATTAACTTAAGTATGTCACGAGCTCGTCGAAGTTTTTGAAAGCGGTTGTATTTGTTACTATTAGTTTTAACTAGCCTAGTTTGGCGTTTAACAGTTTCGCATTGTTGCTGTGTAAAGTGTTTTCGAACGATCTCCGTTTGTTATGATTCTTCCCTCATCATCTGACAGACTGACGAGCGCGAATCCGTGAAATAAACAAGGTTTTAGTCGCGAAGCGGCAACGTGGCGCCTCAAAATGGCGCGCGCGCTCCCCCCGGCGCTGAAAATGGCGCGAGTGCGTCAGGGACACCTTCATCTCGCGCAGGAACCAGGGGGCGGGGCTTCCCGTACTCATGACCATATTAGGAGATGTTGTCGGGGAAATTCCTGCTTGGAGTGGAGCTACTACTAATAGTTGCTAGGAAGAGGCGTTTAGGGCTGGTAGCTTAGTGATGGGAGTGTGTGTGTGTGAGAGTGTGTGTGTGAGAGTGTGAGTGTGTGAGAGTGTGAGTGTGTGAGAGTGTGAGTGTGTGAGTGTGTGAGAGTGTGAGTGTGTGAGAGTGTGAGAGTGTGAGTG